AAGGTGTTCGAACACTGCTGTTTACACAGCATTGCACGGAAGTGGTGGGACAACCGGACGAGTAGTCCTGACGTTAGGTGCAGAGTTTTTGGTAACCACCGTCATCCATTGGGGCATGTGGTCGACCTCCATAGATTGTGTTGGTTGATGCATGTGGTACGCATGTCAACAAATTGATTACCACGACTGGTGCTGTTCGTCAAGGCAGGTGATGAGTGGAAGAATGTAAGGAGTGGTCAAAGTAAGACCTGGCTTTATGGTGTGCAAAACCGGACCAGGAAACTCGGACACAGGTCAAATAAGTTCCCCTAGATTTCGGGGTCATTGTAAGCAATGGTTAGATACGTTGACTTATACGTCTTAAACAGTGACGCTTGAGTATCGCACCAATTTCTTTGCAACCTTAGTCTACCGGATTTCGTCATTTTCTGTCGAACACTGCTTTCAACTTTCCAATCTTTTTTCTACTCCTTCATCCAAATGAGCAATTATGAGACAGTAACCAAAACCGGCACATGAAAGCGCATGGCTAATGGGTGTATAAACTGAACTGAAGCTGCTTTGTAAAGGTACGCCTTCCAGTCAAGTAAGCATTTTCTTTTCTGCGACGCAGCCCGTTCAGTAGAGAATGGAAATCATATCGTGCTACACACAGATCACCGGCTCAGTGTTTGAATCTCAGGTCGATGTGGGCATTGACTACGGAAGCACGGAGAACCGCTTAGTTCAGCTCATGTGAATGATTGCATGAATGTAAAGAAACACAGAAAAGTCAGGGTACAATGGGGAACAATGTATTGGTGTAAATACGACTCACTGAAAAAGAGCTTGTTCGCCGCTGTGTTGTTTTGTTTGAAATTTCCATGATCTCGTACAAGCACTACCGTTTGTCCAACCACCAATGGTGTGTAGACACTTTAACAAAAATCAACAAACCTTAACAGGTTGATGATAATCGGCTAGTGTCGATAGCATTTTATGGCTCAAATCACATCGGCATACATAAACAGGGCAACTAACCTGCAGCAGCCGCACTTTCTGTAATGCTTGTGCACAGCATTCCGTTGCCACACTACCCGAGAACCGATAAAGTCGATCTGTGACGCACACGTGGACAATCGAAGGAGAGGTGGATTTCAAGTGCTCAACGGAATCCGTGGGAGGCGAATCACTTGGTGGAATGTTTTTCTTCATTGGAGAACGAAATGGGGTACAATCTAATGTTGAGTTATGTGTGGAAGGTGATCGAAAATGCCATCCTGCAGCATAGTTCTTTTTCACCTTGAAACAGGCAATGGGGTTTCACAAAAGCGGGGTAGGAAAATTCAAAAAGAAATTAGGGCGAACGAAGTAATTTCACGTAACAGATCATTCAAAAAGCCATACAAATTTCAGTGCACAAAATCATCCGCTTCATACAGTACCGCACTGTATTTGTTGAATGCGTTCACTCGCTTTTGCTTTGCTTTTCATTGCACTGTGCTTTGTTTGGCACACGGTCTGGCTTCCGACGTGTGTGAACTACAAATATATGTCTGCTTTCGTTTGGACAACCTGGCAGAATCCCACCAAAAAGTAATTTAGGGCCTTCTTCTTTAGATCCGTATAGGCATGTTTGGATTAACCACAACGAGAGAACCAAAGAACAACAACTTTCGGTTGACGACGTGGTGACTAACCTCCTAACCAGAGCAAACCAGTTCGTCTCCAACAAAAAGGACAAACGCAAAGAGATTCAACTAATCACGAGAGTTGGTGGGTAACGGATATCCATCAAATTTTCTACAAAGAATTAAAAAAGTACTAAAAGATCTATAGAACCAGAAATCAAAAAGACCGATTGGATCGCAACTAGTGTCATACCTCATCGCCGCAATACATCATAAGACATCCAACGAATATTGAAGCGTTTCAATATAAGGGTAGCTTTTCGAGCAACCAATATCCTTCGTTCATTTCTGATGCGACTTAAGGACAGACGACCAAAAGCTGATTAATCAAATCTTATTTACAAGATAAGATGTAAACAGTGTACAGCCATGTACATTGGTCAAACAAGTCGACAACGAAAGACGCGAGTATCCGAACATGACAGGAAATCTAAACACCCTCCAAGAAATGTATCTGAGCTTAGGACCCCTGAGAGGGACTCAGCTATTGCTCTACACTCCATTTCCACTCTATTGACTTCGAAAAACCGATTATTCTGAAACAAGGTTTCAGATCATATAGAGAACGTTTAATTACTGAGTCATTGTTCCTCAACAGCGATCCACTTGGCGTCAATCGATCGGACGGGACCCAATTATCAGTTCACTACCTTAATACCAGTTGCACAACAAACCGCTCACACACACACCCTTGTTCACTGGCAAACAAGATTTATTTACATTATGAATTCGTCGTGTAAATGAGGCGTGAGCTGAAAAGTTAGGAAGCACTGGACAACTGTTTCGACCTGGTTGGGTCTCATCAGCAGTGCGAATCCATCGACCCAACTGGGGATCGAACCCGGGACATCATGGGCAGAACGCAAGCATGCTACCCACATGGCCACCGGGCAGCTGATCAGACCATTTTTCATTTTGAATTTACACGATAGAGCACAACCCATCAATGCTTCCCAGCTTTTCAGCTCACACCTCATTTACACGACGAATTCATCATGTAAATAAATCAAATCTTCCATTACTCTCATGAAACAAGATTAAATCTAGCCACACCACAAAACTGCTCACAAACTAATCTCCCATCTTCTATGACGTCATCATAAGCTCTTTGACCTCTTGCTTGATTCACAACTTCCATGATCTCATTTATTACTTCTCTTTCTCACACACTCACAAACTAGACCAATCAAAAGCACCTCCAATTGATACGGTTTCTCTCACGATTTTTTTTAATGTTCGCTTGTTAATTGACTTGAAAAAGGCCTTTCAAGAAGATCGAAACGTCGTCAACCAAAAATTGTTGTGTTTTGGTTTTCTCTCGTAGTGGCTAATCCAAACACTCCCATACGGATCTAATACTATGAGAATGAAGCACAATTTCTTCAAAGACATCCGTTCCAACTTTGGATGTGATGCCTTTTTCTTTGTTATAAAGAGTATTGCACCTTTATTTGCTTGACATACAGTCAGGACTGATATGTGTGTGAAATACTATGATACTAACGCATTTGGAATACTACGTGGAAAACTCTTTCAAAATGGTAAAAAAATAATAGATAACGTGAATGAAAAGGTGTATGAATGGAAATAGGCGCGAAATATTGTTAGGTAACTTAAGATGTTAGCAAAATGGATTTTTCTCAACTTCAGTAACAATGCTCACTCTTAACTCACACCAACGGATGAGATGAGCGGACTTATATCAGTGTGAAGTTGATCAATATTCTGCATCACCTATATGTAAAATGTGGGATTTGAGTTTATATTTGCATTCAAAGCAACACGCAAGAGGTTAGCTGTGCAGCTTCAATATAACTGAAATACTTAACCAAACACTCGGAAGTGAATCTGTATATTAATCAAGCATTTAACTAACTCAACACAAGAAGGCACTGATCATTTCAATTTTGAGGAGTGACCATATTTCACAGAGTTTTACATTTATTTCCGATTTTTTTATCGGCTAGTGTGACACTGCATTCGATCACCTCGTGAGCTTTACCATTTACAGAGCTAACAGCTTTACCTTACCCTGATAGGCTCATTTCATGAAATTTGATTGTACAACTGCTTAATGAATAAAAGGGAAATAAAATTTATTATATAACTGAGGTCTGATGAGTGTGTGATAGAAACAGAGGAATACAAAGCAGAACACGATCGATTAGCCAAGTTAAACAACTTACCTGAATTGGAGCGGAAGCGCGAACTACGGGATACTGCAAATGAAAATATTTTGCACAATGTGACTGTCCTGAATGACCCAAACGTCCACACACTCGATAATGCAGTCGTTTTTCCGACGGATAGAAACATTTTCGTTCGCGTCGACTGAATAGCAAAGAGGATTCACTGCTGCTCTCGGTATCGTCAGTAAACGAGGGTGAAGTAGGGGAGTGTTTTGGTTTCCAGTCTGTTCCTTGTGGATTTCGGCCACCTCGCGCTAAAACGCTGCGTATCCATCGCGGTTTAGTTTCACGGGTTCGATGACTACGTTTCAATGCTTGCCGGATACGACGCGATACGGTTGTGGTCGGAGATTGAATCTGGTCGGCATGAATGGCGAGTTGGTTCAGCTGTGCCGTCTTATTCAGAGCATCACACAACAATCGTCTGGACCAGGAGTGAGACCAGACACATAACTTGATCGATTCTGTTAGGACATTGTGTGACAGATCGGTGGCCAATCGACGAATGTGGCGAACACGAACACAGGCAAGAGTGGAGGCCTAGAGTGGGACACAGACAAGAACAGACTGCTAGCTAGATGTACATACGGGACTTGGATTGGTTGCAGAGACACAGCCAATCCATTGCGAAGTCTCCAACCTTACTTGAGTATGACAAGTCTAAATCTTAACAGCTGACACAGAAGCGAAGATGA